ATATTCACGTTAATATTCCAGTTTCACCACTGGCAGCCGGGTGATGTATCTGACTGTGCAGTCTGGGTCATTTCAAGGCAGAGTACTTGGAAGAGTATGCTTTTGCTGGTTGGCCTATAGGGAACCATAGAACTGCAGAACTTGCAGCACATTTGCTCTGTCCATCATGTTTGTGCTGTTTTTTTGAAAGAGCAATCCATTCAGTCCATTTTATCTGCCTTTTCCCCATACCACTGCCAAATGATTGCATATTAAATATCTATCTAGTTCCCTCTTGAAGGCCAATATGGTTCTCACCTCAACTACCTCAATCGCCAGAGCATTCCCCTACCAATCAATTGTGTAAATACATTCCTCCCAATCTCTCCCTTAGCTGATTCAGTAAGCATCTTAAATTGCTGCTCTCCAGTCACTGATTCACCAAGCAGGAGAAATATTTTTTCCCTATCTACTCTATCAAAAACCCCTCATAACTACAAAGACCTCCATCATGTCTCCCTTCAGCTTTCTCTGTTACAATGAAAATAATAATAATCCTTGAGATAACTTGATTTGATACAGCGCCTTATCACGTCTTCGAGACGTCTCAAAGCGCTTCACAGAATATACTGTAAAGTAAATTGACTGTATATTTTGTGTGGGCGAAACGCAGCAGCCAATTGCGCACAGCAGCGTCCCCACAAACAGTCGTGTATTGAGTGAGCAATTTATTATTAATATTTTTTGAAGGAATTATTACCCCCCCTGCAAAAGCAATCCGCCAATTGACTTACAACCGGGTCCCTACTTACTGGTAGGTAAACAAAGGGGTGTGGAGTAAGGAAACTTCGTTTCACCCTGCCCTGGGAATCAAACCTCGGTCTCTCGCTTGCGAGGCGAGTGCTCTAACCGTTAAGCTACAGGACTTCACTCCACAAAATAAGGTCAGTTCCTCTAGTCTCTGCTCACTCATCCCTGGTGAATTTCCTCTACTGCCTCTGTATGACCCTGACGTGCTTCCTAAATGTGGGTGACCAAAACTGCACCTGCCATCCACCTATTGAGGACTCAAACCCATGCTTGGTGGATGTCAAATAACCAGCTAGTAACTCGATACTTGGTTCACGGTTTCCTTGGTGCTCAGCTGCAATTTCCTATTCTTATTATTCAGTCTTTTCTCTTCCTCCACCAAGGCATTTCCGACATGATAGGTCAGGTTCAGCTAGTTACATAACACAGAGGTATTATGCAACTTGTTGACCTAATACGTATTTGATTAATGTCAGTTCAGCAGCTCTATGCGGTTCCGATGGAGCTAAAATTCTCTGAAACGTCAGTAAAACTTTTGAGGCTAGCTGGACAGAAGAGCTCTTTGGACCCATTCAGTATTCCTTGCACAGCGCATTGTGCTAGTGTCATGATTATTCCAGCAGACGTCACTGCTGCTGTGGTAACAACAGCCTTTTGAAATCCTTTTCACAAACGTGGTAACAGCTGGTAACTCCTGCGGTATGAACGATATGTTACCGATGTGCCAAAAAAAGTTTGCTCGAGCACCGTCTCCGGGGGTGGGGGGGGGTTCTGTTTCGCAATAGTGGCTCACGTGTCATTTATGACCGATGTACATTTATGTCACTATTTCAAACCATGCTTGCACTCTGAGCTCTGTGACATTGCTGCTTTCATCTTCGGTCACTTGAGTCCCCAGGCAGTGTTTCTAAAATGCTGAAGCCTGGTTGTTAATTCAAATGTGAGCGCCTGTTCCCAAACTCAAGACTCCAGGGAACACCGTCCAGCAGCTGCCGTCCTGAGCCTCAGAGTTTTTCATCATCTGCCCTCGATGTGATGGGAGTCTTGAGACACCTTGATGTTCTCGGGGTCCCTCACGTGAGGACCTGGATTAGGCAAGGGAGGGGATGAGGCGGAGGGAGCGTGGGAAGGAGTTCCAGAGGGTGGGGGCAGAGAGGCTGAAGGCTTTCAACGCGGTTATACGTTGAAATACAATGGCATTCGGGATTACAGTCGTACTTGTTCAAACTCATTCAATGAATTTAGTTCTTAAGCAATCGTCCCAAAAGTAACCGTGCGGTTCTATCCCAATAACCATCCTTGTGAAATTCAGGGGTAGGACTTGAAATAATCTGTTGTGCAATGGATTCTACAGATACAAAGATTTCAACGATAACCCTGGTTAGTAACAAATTGATGCCTGTCAAGAGATTTTAATTTGCACTTTTAAGTACACCTTACCTTTATACAGGACAGGGTGTCCCGTGAAGGGCTTCTCATCGCACTCAGGGCAGATGTATAATGAATAGCTGACAAAGAAACTGAGGCCCAGTATGGCAGCTGCTGGAAAACGTTATCTGAAGTTTTTTTTTTAAGTTTGTAGGACATGACTGTGTACGCAAATGGGTTGCTGTGTTTGCCCACAAGTACAAGTAAGTGCACTTCCCAGTATAATCCTGCAAAGCGCTTGAGACAACGTGATGATGTGATAAGGTGCAGTTACTGTGTATCCAATGCAAAAATATTATTATTAATAACAATAAGTCAAGATTACTGTCAATAACGAAAAGTCAAACATTTATTTGACCTCACCCTTTCTCATCGATGCTCATAGAGTGGAGTCCTGCAGCTCAGTGGTTAGAGCGCTCGCTTTGCAAGTGAGAGACCTGAGTTCAATTCCAGGCAGAGGGCGAAACCTTGGGCAAGTTTCCTTACTCCACACACCTAATAATAATCCCTCCAAAAAAAACAAAAGAATAATAAATTGGTCATTTTCAATCCATGACGGTTTGTGGGACGCAGCTGTGAGCAATTGGCTGCCGCGTTTCGCCCACAAATATACAGTCAATTGACTTTACAGTATATTCCGTGAAGCGCTTTGAGGCGTCTCAAAGACGTGATATTATTATTAAGGATTATTATTATTATTTTGCCCCAAATTTTACCCCACAGCGATGACCGCAAACGGTAAGTTGTCGGTTCACAAGCAGCAGCAGTAACTTTGCAGCACAAGATCACTCGTGAGATTCTGAGAATTTTTTTGCCTCCTTTCTTGCTGCCTTACGTTCTTTCGACAAAGTGAGCAATGAGTCAAACCAACAGATCTCTTTCAGCTTCCCCCTCGACAAGTCCAATCCCAACTATGGAGTACGTGCGTTTCCTATTCTCATCTCCGACACGCAGTACCTTCCTGGAGATGTAGCAAAGGATCTTGCTCCAGCCCATTTGTGAAGTCCAGGATCAAGCAGCGAGGGGAATTTGTGGAAAAACAGGGAAAGGGTTGAAGGGAGGTGGAAGGCATTAGCTGGAGTCCAGGTTTGCGTACACACGTTTATATAGCCAAGGCTTGGAATCCATTTTGACGGCGTGCAGAGAGGCAAAGCAGCTGCCGTTTAAACCCCACACCTCCGACTAGAGCACCCAAAATTTGGGGCAAAATAATAAAAATAATCCTTAATAATAATAAAATCTCAGTGCTGGGATGTGCATCTGAGCTGTGGGCAGGAAGATGGTGACAGTGCTCTCGCATGTATTCGTGCTGAGCCGCGTTGGTCACCGGGAAACTCACGGGGAATTTGTGATACCTGCCATTCACGCAGCGAGGGTTCAAACCTGCACACGTCGATTTCAAATGACCAACTTGTGACTATTCTCATGGGGCGGGGTGGGAGGAGGCGGAGATAAATATAAATGCAAGCTAATATTGTTGGATCACCCAAGAGGTTATGCTTTGACATTAGATCCTGAGATTATAGATAGAATTACATCGATTACATAGACTGAAGCACCTCTCCCTCCTGTAATGCATTGAGTTTCCTCTTAAATCCACTGACGCTCTCTGCTTCAACAGATTTTGGCAGCAGTTTCCGCATTCTCACACCCCTCTCCGTGTGAAGAGGTCCCTCCTATTTTAGACTCTATTTTAGATTTGCTAATGCTTGTCCAAATCTGAGATGGCCTCAACGATTTGTTGTCGGGCTCCCTTGAATGCTCAGTTAGGAAGTGCAGTGGTGATGCAGACCTGGCAAGTTTCTGAGGTTCAATTCTGGTCAGTGTCGAGTTGGGGCTGTGTTAAGAATGCAACAGTCGTGCTTAACGGTGCCGCGATTTGACGCTGAGCCGGGGAGAAAGGGGTGGTAAGTGGTCAAAGGGGAGAGTCTTCAGGTACAATCTGAAGATGGGCAAAGAGGGGGCAAGGTGGAGGGGTTCAGGCAGGGAGTGCTCGAGAGTCGGGACACAGTGGCTGACAGCACAGCCACCGACAGTGGAGTAGTAAAGCCTGAGCTGGCTGAGCGAAGGTAAAAGGTAAAGCAGGAAGGTGGGAGCAGATTGGAAAGGATGTTCCACGAAATTAAGTGATTTGTAGATGAGAATCTTGAAAACGATGGTTTCTGCAACAGGGAGCCAGGCAAGGTTCGGGGCGATAGAGGGGTGTAGTTTGGTAGGGGTGAGGATACAGGCAGAGTTTGTGAATGATGGAGCTGGAGAGACAGACGAGGAGGGCATTCAAGAAAGTGAGCCAGGAATGACTGAACGAGCATTTCAACAGCGTTGGGTATGAGGCAGGTGATGGAAGAAAGCGGTCCTGGTCAGGGACCAGATGTGGGTCAACTGGGGAGTGAACCACCCAGGTTTGGTTGGAAGCTCAAGTATTATTATTACTTTTATGTTCCACACAAACTGGTTTGAGATCCTTACAACATTGTTAAGAGTTTCAGTACTTCCTCAGATGATTGTGAGTAAAACCTCCATGATGTAGGCTTAGTCTAGGCTGACCGAGTCAAATTCAGCGTTGGAGGAACACTAATTCTCAGAGAGGTCATAGTCCTACATCACTAATGGAAAACATTCTCACACTGACTGGTCAGCAATCCTCCAGATTAATTGTTCAGTCAACTCATGGTCATCTGTGGTCTATTGCTGTTTGTTTCGGAACTGTTGCAAGTTTGCAGACCAGGTTTACTGTATGTGGTTGTAATTGCGTTAGAATAAAGAACCACTCAGAACAAACATTTAGTAAGACAAATTTTAATAAGATTCATTAACAGATTTTTAAAAAAAATTCCCTACATTTTAGTATAAATGAATGACAACTTCAACTGTAAGGGGTAGTACCAGAAAATAAACTTGTCAGTTGTTGCTATATGATACAAGCAGTATTACTACAGTAAAGGGAGAGGGTAACTGAAGTTAATCTGGTCTATAAAAGGAGGACTGGCAGCTCGAGGAACAGAATATTTTCTCCTCCGCTATGGGATTTTAATTCAAAATAATAGAACAGTGTAACAAACTATTAAGAGAGAAACAACACATTACTGTAATACAGAGAACAAAGAGGGTCCTTCTCCACTTGCCTACAGTTGGGGTCTGTAGAATTTCTAGACACATCCAAAGGCTTTGTTTAAATACCAGTTGCAGACTGATCTGCATTTAAAATAAATGCCAAAGCTTCAGAAAGGAGCCTCATAAAAAGCAGCATTAAAGAGTCTTGCACATCCCGCAATCGTGGAAAAAAAGACACTGGGCAGCACGGAAGTTTAAAAACAGAATCACTTTTTGAACAGTTATATCTCCAAGAAAAGTTCTCTCTCTTTTTTTTCACAAATCTTGAATCTGCTCAAATATTCATTATAAATAAATGTATCATCCCTACATTCACATGAGCCAATAACCTATTCATCGTGAGCCAGAACTGCAAATGCCCTTTAAACGAACTGGAGGTATAACAGGTACTAGATGTTTGATTCAAAATAAAGCGTCAACAAGACACAGTATGGAGATTCAGAGAAATAGGAATTATCCTGTTGGCGGTCACGTGGATCACCAATGATCAAAGTTATGAATGGTAAGTGCCAAGGAGTGGGATACAAATAGTTTGGACACGTGCTGGGGTTTACCGCACAAACAGTAAACAATTTAACAGTAACTAGAACATAGAACTAGAACTAGATGGATGCATGGCTTTGAAAGAGTTTTGGTAACACCATTTCCCCCTCACTTAAATATTGTGATCCAATCTCAATTGCAATACCATCCCCAGGGCCTTGGGACGTCCTCCCGACACTATACAAATTTAATTTTGTAATCTATCTCTTCAATATCCAAAGAATAATCATCATAGGAATGAAGTGGAGTCCTGTAGCTCAGTGGTTAGAGCACTCGCTTTGCAAGTGAGACACTTCCATTCAATTCCAGGCAGAGGGCGAAACCTTGGGCAAGTTTCCTTACTCCACACAACTAATAATAATCCCTCCAAATAAAAAAAAAAACAATAATAAATTGGTCATTTTCAATCCATGACTGTTTGTGGGACGCTGCTGTGCGCAATTGGCTGCCGCGTTCGCCCACAAATATACAGTCAATTCACTTTACAGTATATTCTGTGAAGCGCTTTGGGACGTCTAGAAGACGTGAAAAGCGCTATATCAAAGGCAAGGATTATTATTATTATTATTATTAAGTGATTGGCAGCCAAGGGAGGATTTGGTATTATACAGAGACTACACATCAGTTACTAAGAGCATGCATGCTCAACACTACGGAACGACAAGGCAATGATTGGGACAGACATCTAGACTATTTTAACAAGATATTCACTTGGTTGGTGGCGCTGTACACTGCCATTTTAAGATTATTTTTGGGGGTGTGGGGAGGAGTAGGAGGGAGAATGAGAATGGAAAATCCAGCGTACTGTTGCTAAGAAATCTCTTCTCAGTGAAATCAAAGGAACCATCACATCTCACTGGCACAATACTAGAGAAGGAACCCTGATTATAAAACACACGTGTTGATAAACAAGTGCCAATACTGTCAATTTGTCTTTCTGAATCTTTGGTACAATCAATTTTGTTTTCTATCCGAAATGTGTCAGTGAAATGTAGCCCAATTTTTAAAAAAAATACACAATAACCAAGATTTGTTTAGAAAGTATTTACAATAGAAATTACAATATAATACAACTGTCAAGCTTATATTATATGAACAAATCAAGTTGTCCGTGAAGCCCATCCTATGAAAGTCTCCTCATTCTGGCGACTGTTATTTTAACCCCTCTGGGATCCCACCTCATGAATAAACTAGTGGTTGGGCATTCGTACATCAGAGGCTAGAAGTCTCTACTAAAATCACACTATATATATATTTTTTTAAAAAGATCCATACAAAATTTGCCACTGGGTAATAATACAATATATACAGCATCTTAGGTACTAGGAGGCAAATTTTCTAGGCAATACCACCCACCCCACAAATATTATTAGATTTTGGCAGCATTTACTTTGACATGAATGCACCATACAAGATTTTACCATTATATATACCACCAAGTCATCAAAAATAAGCACACTTAGTGTTATTTACAGAACAGAATAAAATGTGGAAGATGTAATCTGAATTAATTTCTAATCTAACCACTTCATTCAGCTTGAAATGGGAAGTGTGTGTGTGTGTGTGTGTGTGTGTGTGTGAGAGGGGGTGAAAGAAAAACAGCTGAGCTGGGAGAAGAGAACAGAGGAAAGGTCTCAATCTACTACTTAAGATTTTTTTTAAAATCACATTTAAAAAAAAAAATTCAAACATATGGCAGTATACCATAGACAAAAATTGCCATAATAGCAGCAGTGAAGAGGCCAGCCACGGGAACGGTCACAAACCAAGCCAAAAAGATATTACGGAATAAGTGCCAATCCACCGCTTTACGTGACCGAATCCAGCCAACTGAAACCACAGATCCGACCTGTAAAGGTAATTTGACGACAGGGAAAAAAATATTAATGAGCAATATTCAATTGGAGGCAAGACCAGAGTAGACTGATTCAAAATTTAAAATCAGCACAACTTGTACAATCAGCCACCAAAACCATGCAGATAGTAGATACATTTCACCCACAAAATATACAGCCAATTCACTTCACAGTATATTTTGTGAAGCGCTTTGAGACGTCTCGAAGACGTGATAAGGCGCCATATCAAGTGCAAGGATTATTATTCTTTTCATGTACTGTACCCAGTACCTCAATCCTACATTCCAGATACACTGCACTGAAATGTGAATTTCTTTCAATTAACAGCAATCATCGAGAGTTGGAAAAGCCAAGACCAGTGGCACAAGATTAACACAAATAGGCAATATCCAATACAAGTTGAATAATGCACAATATGTAGCATGGCAAGGCAGTATAAAATTTGAATTTGTATCATATCTCGGGTTTGGAGAACGACCATCAGTCCACTCTTTTCACAAAGTAAGATTAATTTGTCAACTAATAATTGAACCATACATTAGATTGGAAAGCAAAGATTAATCATAGCTCAAAAGAGCAAGCAAGTTAGAATGATTTGCTTTAAGCAGAGTATTGACTTGACTGGTGCAGTATGCCTTCAAACTATCATATGCAATACTAGAAGAGTTTTCTGGAAATGGGGTTTTAGTTACCACAACATTAAAGTGGACTAAAAAAGATATACAACTTTTGGCACAAGTGTCTAGATTTCAGGGAGTTCCAACGAGTTGTAACCAGATCTTGGATTGGATCAAGTTCATTCACTGAACAAATAAGTAATTAAAACCTCCTCAGTTTGGTATAGACCTAAATTCCCATTCTTGTCCTCCTCTCCGCCCCACCCACATTAATAGTGCAGCGAGTTGACACTTCAATACATCGTGCAAATGTGTATACCTTTCAATTAGCAACTATTATCCATAAAATCTGGTCTCACTCCAAATAAACTCTAGTAATGAAAAACCGAGCAAACAAAATAATACTCTGGAGGACAGTGCAAACCCTTCACCAGAAGGCAGACAGCAACAGCCAAGTCTTATTCTAATTCAATTGCCTGAGTTGCTAAATTTGGTAGTAGTTCAGTCTCTTTATTAACATGGCATTCTCTAATACCTTGCAATGAGTAGAACTTATTGGAATGCCCACATTTGAGGCAACAAGTACAGTAAGCGCACACATTACTTCAATGCAAAATCCACTGTAAAGAAAGAGAATAAGTTTGTAGTATTAAGTATGTGAAGAAAACCCGAACCCGTGCATGCAATGTGAACATTGGGTGAGTGATGAGAGGTTTTGCTGACCCTGTGCCCAAGGAGTCTACTACAAACCAATCCACAGTGGCATGAACAGCTTAAGTTGGGAGGGGTGGGTTTTAAAATCTAAAACAGCACAGCCTTTACTGAATACACCTTTTCTAAAGCTACTGAAGATACTCAAGTCAACTTCCCTTCCTCTATCACACAGCGTCCTCCACAGTCCGTGTGAAGCTCTCTGACGTTTCGTGAAGGACATTATATAAACGTCATGTTGCTGAATGGTCAAATACATTGTGGGGAGTTTGGTTTGGTTTGGTGTGTGTGTGCGTGAGAATTATAATTTTATTTGCTGTAACATTTCTATTAAAGCAAAGCAAGCTGCTGTTGCAAAAACGGGACCACTCATATTTAGTGTCTTTCACATTTTCAAGGCTGAGGTGGATGGATATTGTCCCGTCAGGGTATCAATGGATAAAGGGGAAAGGCGGGTAATTGGAGTTGAGGTACAGATCGGCCATGATCTTATAGAATGGCGGAACAGGCTCGAGGGGCTGAATGGCCTACTCCTGTTTCTACGTTTGCAAATTTTCGATCAAGGTGACCTTCAACAATTGGGCTCAGACCAATCCAGATACTGCCCAAGCCAGTTTAATCTTTTTAAACTATGTTAAGAAAATCCCATGATCTCTTTAAGTACCGGGCATTTCATGTGCCTGACTACATAGTCTTATTCTGCTTGTATGGGTAGAACGTAAAGAATGTACCCACTCCAAACTAGACTGAAAAGGAAGAGGCGTGGTCCTGATTTCGTATAACCATAAAAGAAGCATGTTTAAAAGAGAACCAACAATAATTATTATTATTATTAACAGTCCCGGTTGGTTTTGTATGAAAAGGCGATCCTCTAACGTGGATCCACAGCCTCTGAGAAATCACCACAGCAATCGATCGGACAAAAACAAACCATTTTACTTGCTTCAGTTTAGTTATGGTTCAGAGAGCAGCAATCTATGAAAATGACTTGAGTATCTTTAAGCAGCAAGAAAGGAAACCCGCTGTCTGTCTGCAGCCCCCATCTAGAACTGGCAGCACTTTCTGCTGTTCAGCTTACCCTACCACACCTAGGAGTCATGCCACCATGAACTGACCTGAGCCTCAGAGTAGAACAGACTGGACTGCTTGTGAGCAGTCCCATGGCATACGCATACCTTGCAGTGTGTGGTACTGATAGGAAGTCCAATATTGGAAGCAACCACAACTGTGAACGCCGAAGCCAACTCAATAGTGAATCCACTGTAGGAAGTACAAAATAACACTTCACAGTCATTCTTTGCACCAGCTAGTCCAGCGACTAACACCATGAAGCTTCAGGCAGCACTCACCACAGCTCTGGCCAACATCCAGGGCAATTTTAATTTGATATATCCAGCAGTCATTAAATAAAAAACATTTCCGTTATTACATTAGCACCCATGGAATAAAACATGACATTCACAGTTGTGATAAACAGAATAAAATAACTGTGGCTGGCATTTAAAATTCACGACAAGTTAAAATTCAGCAGCAGGTCTATATTATCTCAACGGAGGCTTCCAGCATCATGTATTAATAGATTCTAATTAAATGTACCAAGGGCCAGATCTGTACAATTTTAACATACATCGGGGATTCAGATCATTTCGGCAGTGCCCCCCTCCTTCTACCCAAATACATATCATCTGCTAATCTTTTTGTTGGAAGCTTTTCAGTGAGTGATTTGCCCCCCCCCCCCCCCCACCCCACACACACACCTACCTCCCCAGGGGATTTAGGTATCAGTACACTTGCTGACATACAAGCCTTTTGTGTTCTACTGACATCAATGGGAAATGTGATCTTACATTAAACTTCCCGTTTAACAGTCCTGGTTCAGACTTTAGAGAACATGTGTGACAGTCCTGCGATAAGACCAAAGATGCAGCAGAAATGCCAGCTCATTTATCGAATGCACCCTAGATTATGAGAAGAGAGGCTCCCTTTCCCCCCCACCCCCTCCGCCAACTCTCTGCTAGAGGTACTGCATGGTTTCCTGTGGGAAGTGAGAAGGGATAAAGAAAGGAAATAAAGAAAGGAAGGGAGAATATAAAATAAAAATCATTGCCCCAATTTCAGTTAATAAAAAAGAAAAACCCAAAGGGTAAAATTGATCAGCGTGTGGGCATTCCACCAGGTGTGAAAATAATAGTTCTGATCGTCAAAACAGGAAGTGGGGGGGGTGGGAGAAAAAAAAGCACTGGTTTGGACCCGAAGCAGAATTAAAATAAATAATTCTACATTATCCAAATTAAATTCTGAATACGCCAATCAATGTTCGTCAAATAGCTATTCGTTCCCTTCACTGACACAATTTGTCTCGACTACCTCCCTGATAGATTAGTCCATACATTCATCACTTTGTGTAAATCAGCTCCTAGATGAGTTAGCACAGCATCGACGGGTCCTAAATATACTCACCTGGAAGGTGTAATGGGGGTGAGGTCTTTGCCCAAAGTCTGGATGACCCGCCTTCCCCAGACCCAGAGACCAGCACAGATGCCCAAGCCACCGTACAGCAGCAGCCAGATAGGTGTTGAGGCATCCTGTAGCACTTCTCCTTCCCGATAGATCAGCCAGAGAGCAACAAGGGGACCGATTGCATTGCTGGAAAAGGAAAACGGGAAGGTTAAAGCCCAATTAATAGGAGAAAGACTGCAAACAGTATGCACCTCGCCACGACTTCCTCTCTAAAAAAAAATAACAGCTGCAGATGTCAGCATGTTGTGGCCGAGGAGAGCTCTAATCAGGGATGATTTTTAATGTTCAGGTTATTGAAAGTTTCTGCCAAACCAATGGTATTTAATTAAAACAGCCAGCGGCTTCACACACCACACACACACACACACACACACCATAACAAGTGTGTAATAAAGCAAACAATGTTGAAATCTAAAAAAAATCCACATTGTTCTTTATACTTCATGAACATTTTGCTTGACAAAACGGGACTGTAGCAGGTCGGGAGGGGGTGTTGCGGTGGGTGGGGGGGTGGGGGTTGCGACAGCTTCAATGATTTATGACACAAATAAAACACCAGGCTCTTCATTCCTCTACAAATCCATTTAAAGCCAGGCACAATAAGGGGATTATTACACAGTCACATGAATACCCTGCAGTAACACGTTCACAATAGCTTCTCAGTCTCCAATCAACATCAATTCAGCTGCTCTGAACAGCTCTTGTTTAAAATGACTGCAAGTACTGCTCTGAATTTTATAACCTTAGCACCTGCCTGTGTTGGATTTGACAACATAAGATACCGGTGTCTGGCATTTCATCTCCCCCTGGACTTTACTTTCTCTTCTAAACCACCCAAAAATATTAGACTCGAGAACTGCAGCGTGGTGGCGGGGGGGGGGGGGGGGGAATGACAACACGACGACAGGTATTTTCTAAAGAGCGTTCACATTTGTTTTGCAAACCCAAAAAAACAAACACGTTGCACTTTTGTCAGTCAGTGCGCTCAGCGCTCACTTTCGCCTCCAAGTCTTGTGGATTCAAGCCCCCACGTTGGGACTTTTGAATGACATGGTATAAACTGAGCCTGGGGTGTGCTGCATTATCAGAGGTGCTATCCTTCAGATGAGGTGGAAAGTTAAACCGAGGTCTTGTCTGCCGGCTCAGTGGACGATAAAGATCCACTGGGACTATTCGAAACGGAAAAGGGAATTTTTCTTGGCCAACGAATCTCCAAATTAAAATTGGTCGCTCGCTCCGTGGCTGTTTGTGGGACATTGCTGTGTGTGCGAACAGCTGCCACATTTACCTTCAAAATACACAGCCAATCCAATTTGTAGTAAATCCTGTGAAGTGAAAACCGCTCGAGGCGGTATAAAGTGGAGAGCTTTTTTGGAAATAACTTGATGGACCTCCATCTCTCCCCCCCCCAAAACACTGACCCCCCCCCCACCCCTCTGCATCTCCCCCAAAACACGACCCCCCCCACCCCTCTGCATCTCCCCCAAACACCACCCCCCCCCACCCCTCTGCATCTCCCCCAAAACACCGACCCCCCCACCCCTCTGCATCTCCCCCAAATCACCGACCCCCCACCCCTCTGCATCTCCCCCAAATCACCGACCCCCCCACCCCTCTGCATCTCCCCCAAAACACAGAACCCCCACCCCTGCCTCTACCCCACCCGCCTCTCCCCCAAAACACCGACCACCCCCTCTGCCTCTCCCCCAAAACACCGACCACCCCCTCTGCCTCTCCCCCAAAACACCGACCACCCCCTCTGCCTCTCCCCCAAAACACCGACCACCCCCTCTGCCTCTCCCCCAAAACACCGACCACCCCTCTGCCTCTCCCCCAAAACACCACCACCCCCCTCTGCCTCTCCCCCAAAACACCGCCCCCCCCCTGCCTCTCCCCCAAAACACCGACCCCCCCCTCCCTCTCCCCCAAAACACCGACCCCCCCCCCTGTCTCTCCCCCAAAACACCGACCTCCCCCCTCTGTCTCTCCCCCAAAACACCGACCCCCCCTCTGCCTCTCCCCCAAAACACCACCTCCCCCCACTGCCTCTCCCCCAAAACACCACCCCCCCCCCTGCCTCTCCCCCAAAACACCGACCACCCCCTCTGCCTCTCCCCCAAAACACCGATCTCCCCCCTCTGTCTCTCCCCCAAAACACCGACCCCCCCCTCCGCCTCTCCCCCAAAACACCGCCCCCCCCCCCGCCTCTCCCTAAAAACACCGACCTCCCCCCTAAAACATCCGCAGGAGTGCTGTGGGCCTATTGCAATCCACCCTCTATTTTCAGAAACAGACCCTTTGCGCTTTCAACCGTCAAAACACATCAGAACATAATAAACTTGTGTGGTGTGTGTCCGCCACCTTAGTACGTCCCCTTTTAATCAACTGGATTTAGGTTAAAGCAGAGAAGAAATAGATCACTCGCCAAGGAGGAAAGTCATTACTCTGTAATTCACATCTTAATAAGGAGAAAGCTGCACACTTTTAAAAAAAAAGTATTGAGGTCAGTATAATCCCTCAAGATTGAGTTACAGCTTTGAACCAACTCTCTGCAGCTTTTCAGTATTTGTTTCTGTGATTTGGGGAATGATGATTTGGTTTTGACAAACAAGATAAGTCGAACTGAAGCCTTCGTTTCAATCACATTTACAGAGCTGAGGTGCCCAGAGCCCAGTCAACAGAATGTCAGTGCCAGAAAGAGACACAGAACCACAGGAGAGGCATCGCCACCAAATGTCAGCACCCCACGTACACAGGAATACCGCCCACTGCAGAGGGCAGAGCTCGAGTATAAATAATCCCAGCTGTCCAGGTTCGTTGGGAGTCGAGCCCCGAGTGATAGGAATTTGCTTTAACGCTGGAAGGTTATGAGTATGATTATCGAGGATTGCACACAGTTCCAGGTTTATGGAAGGCCACTTCTGTGATGGATTTGGCAGCGGATGACAACCAAGATTGTCCACTTTGTTTGAATTTCCTCGAAAACAAAATAATAAAGCTGTGAACCCATCACACTGAGCAGCAGCTCGTTCTTAAGAGTCCACTCAGCCACTCGGGATCAGGTTTAGTGTATTTTAGAGCTGGAAACAAACTTACTGCATTTCGGTTCACAGCCACTTTCCTTGGCTCTGAAGATCTCAGGGAGGTCATTCTGGTTGGTCAGCAGTACTCGAGTAGAGGTGTAGATGTGCTGCCAAAAACAGTACTGGTGCCACCTCGTGTTTGTGAACGTTACTGTGTAAGACTCCAAACCAACGGCGTCACCATGGATAACCAGAGCTCAATCTGAAAACCATTTCTGGAGTAGCTTTAACAAGCAACAGGAGGTGATAAGATTGGGTTGACTTGTCAGCCTGTCGTAAATGCTACAGGAATTGGTCACTGCAAAGGTCACCCAAACCTCTGCTTTATCCCTCTTCCATATAGAAGACATCAAGACCCGGAGCCGGGGTTACATACAGTCTGTTCGATGCTTCTGACTATACTGAGCAACTGGGTCAATGCTGCTATTGACACTCAATTGTCCTGGCTTCAGGTAAGAAAAGCTCTCCGGGTGCTGAAGGCAGGTATAGAGGTAAGAAGAAGACAAGGTCATACTGTATACGGCACTGGTTTCAAATATACCCACATGATTAACAATAATTTTTGCATTTGATATAGTCTTATCAAGTCTTAGAGACGTCTCAAAGCTCCTCACAGAACATACTGTAAAGCGAATTGACCCTATATTTTGTGGGAGAAACACGGCAGCCAACATCGCACAACAGTGTCCCACAAAAAGTCGTGGATTGAGTGACCAAATTACGAAACGAGGCACACCACAGGGCAATGGTGAAGCACCACGTATTGTAGAGCGAGTGAGGAGCAAAGAGGGTGGGAAGGTCTCCACGTGGTGAGAGGCCTCGACAAAGAGGTGCAGTGACATGTTCCTGGGGTGAGTGGAGGTGTGACCTCCGCCTATTCCTCCAGGGGGACAAAAGTTATCAGGTATCATGCACACACGGCTATCAGAGAGGTTGGGAGCCAGGAAAGGCACAGAGCGCTGATGACACAATGTTGAGTCATGAAAATGCATTTTTCTATTCCCTGCAATATAATTTATTTGAAAATTATTGTTAATTTTCTGTTTTCTCATATTTCTTGCCCCGATTTATTTGACCCACTTCTGTTTTGTGCACTGCCAGCACGTTAGAATTTTTAAATAAAGATTAACAACAAATTATATTTGTACAGCGCCTTTCATGTCAGGAGCATGTCCCAAGGCGTTGTACAGTCAGGGATTCATCATTTTATTGGGTTTTCCCAATTTTCTCCAAATCGAGGACAATGAATACCCATCATTAAAACTTTTTTGTGTGCAAACCGATTGATTTGAACTACAAAATGGCCACCTTCCAGATTGTAAGGTGGCCAAAATGGTTCAAATCAATTGGTTTCTATATAAAATGCAGGACATGGTTGAGCGTGGAGGAGTGTGGGCATCAAATGTTTTGATGAATCCCAACTGAAAGCCAAACCACAACTCCTTACCACAGGACGATGCTTTTAGAGTTAGCAGGAGAATTAAGCATTTTTGTATTCCCAGAGGTCAAGAGAAACTCATTTTCAGCTTTGATCTTGGACCATAAGTCATTGCCAAACAATGGTAAATTTGACTGATGTGTCCGTACAGTAAACCTGCCTTGTGTGGTTTTACAGCAAACACTTGACCAACTGTGCAATTACTTCACCAGTGGTTAAACTGGATGTACCTAGTCTCACTCCCACATACACCCGGTGTGCTTATATCCTGAGTGTGCTCACATCCTGAATATTGCTTATTACAGTGGAAAACTGACCATCTGACAGTCAGCAGTGGAAAGTCAGAGAAGCATGTGCATGTTCTAATCCGTGTGGGTGGATAGTCAGCTGGGCTGGGGCTCCAATAAAAACAACCCAGTACAAAAGACAGAAAAAGTAAGTGAGAGAGAGAGAATGACATACACAAAAGAGAAAGAGAGAGAGGGAGGAAGACAGAAATGCAAGCGCACACGTGCGCACACAGGATAGAGAAAGAGAAAGTCTCACACACACAAAGAGGAAGTCTCTCAGAGAGAGACAGACAGACAGAGAGAGAGAGAGAGAGAGAAGACACACACACAGACTCAAAGGCTCTGCTGAATTCGCAGAAGAGAAACATTTAGAAAGGGTGGATAAGTGGTGTGTTTGTATGGTATAGGAGCACACACGCATCCAGTTCTCTGCCAAAAAAACAAGCGTCTCACGTTACTTAGGAAGTGCCCAATAAATGAGGCATTGAGTTCTGTCAGGAAATGCCCAAGTGAATTATTCTTAAATCGGCCTAGATCTCTGGTCTGAAATCTTTGTATTAATATTGCTCAGATGGGCTAAAAAAATTAGTGTACACGGAATGGTGTATCAACTTTCCTCTTCACAATTCTTTTATATTTGATGATAGGGCCTTAGAACATTGAAACATCTCTTAGGCAACTTCTGCCATTTTGTACACAACATTGTCCTACAAAACCATTGAAGATTCCCTTGCACTTATCTTTCTATTTGGATGTCCTCATACCATGCACCACACCCACGACAACAACAAAATAACATTTGTATAGCGACTTTCACGTCAGAAGGACTTCCCAAGGTGCTGGACAATCAGTGTTTCGGAAGTAGGCATGCTCCCACCGGAGCTAGTCCACAGGGTCTCTTCTCTCTCTCTCGTCATCCACTGGTCAAATGTTTGCTATAAATCTCATGATAGTGTGGCTGAGATTACCAAATCATCACTCTTGACAACTGGCACAAACTAAAAGTGGACAGAGCAGTTCATCAGCTGCTCAGAGACAGCCACTGAGAAGAAAATGTTTGCAACAGTTTCTGCCAGGAGGACAGTCTGCATTACTTTACGCCAGGGAAATGAGAGGGAGGAAAGAGAGAAAGTTGCATTACTATGTGTCAGCCTGGCTCATTTGATAGCACTCTTTCCTCTGAGTCAGAAAGTGGTGGGCTCAAGTCCCTTATCTGGGACACAAATACTCCTGAGATATCTAAAACATTCCATATCCAGGGGCTAGATCCCTGAATTTTGTGAGAAATCACAACCTTTTCCTTCAAAAGTAACTTGGCGCAGCCAAAGGATTCCTCTCAGACACAATGGCATCTGAGGATTTGCAATAACAACACAAAAAACTGTTTGAATCATAGGGTTTTTTTGGTCAGCCGGGTGTCTGACACATGGGGAAACCCATCACCATTGCTGAAGAGTATCCAAACCAAACTGAGAATTCCAATCATCCCACTTACACATGGAAATCCCAGGGATAAATTGTTAAGAGTGGAATGCGCACTCTCTCTCTGGGGGGGGGGGACGCAAAGTGTTAGGCGCAGGTTGATAAGAGCCGACCTTGGGGGAACCCCAGATTGTGAGTTTGAGTAACTGCCGGAGTTTAACCAGGTAAAACCGCAGCTTGCCATTGATATTGCTGTCCTGCGAACTCTCCCGGAGCTTGTCTGGCTAGAACCACCCTACCGATTAAGGGCTTGGCTTGCCGGGTTAGCAGGATCTGAGTGCGATGATTCCCTCCCCCCAGGAAGTGATCACACACAATATCTGCGCTCTAGTTTCTGTGGATAGTTACCAAAAGCAATTCAGAAATTAAGCTTTGCACTCCTACATGCAATTGTTTCACACACACAGACACACACACACTCAAATGGGTCAAGTGAACACCCTATTACAACATGCGTTCTGATTTCCATGCCAAAATATCTATCCTCCTCAATAAGGTAATACAGAGAGTGAAAGGCCCATCATAAAAATATACCGTGAGCACCTATTTACGATGCGATTGGTAGCTATAGTCGGACAATGTTGACACTTAATGAAGTAAAATTAATAAAGCCTAGCTGCTAAGAGGAAAGAGAGTTCATCACAAATAAAAATTTATCTCAGGTAATTTGAAAAGAGAAGTTTCTCATGGTGTTCAGGCCAACAATCCCCCAGACTAAATTAGTCAATCACTTCACGGCTGTTTGTGGCTGAGGGCAAATCGGCTCCTGTATTCACGTAGAAAATACTACACTTTACCGTCGATAATCCTGGAAGGAGCTTGGAGTCATTGCAATGACACGGTAAGTCGTTGTATCAAATGCATGGCTTATTATTGCTCCTTATTCACCTGCACAATTTTTTAAAAATTGTAGCAGTGATTTTTTAAAAAAAAAATCACAACACTCGCAGATGCTAATGTTGTAATCCTTTGCACAATCAAGGTTTAAAGTACACGCAGATCACAATGGCTTTGTTGTTCTGATTGATCCAGGGGATTTCCTGTCTAACGACGAGCAGGCATTTTATTACTGCTGCTTACGTTGGAATAACAGTTAATTGAGTCCCATTTTATGGTCCCTTTAAATGGGTATTTAATTTACAAGGTTCTTTGACGCCATCGGCTCCCCCCAGTCCCCACCCCACGGGCAGATAGGCACCACCCACCACACACAGACACACGCGGACGCACCCATACACAGCGACACAGAGACACAACCTTCCCTCTCCCCCTCCCCCCAGGGCACCACCAGCCACATTGCCACCAGCTCACAGAGCTCTTACCTCACGTCGTTACCACCGTGAGCGAATGATCCGAAGCAAGCAGTGAGGATCTGGAGGAAGTGAAACAACAGGTGGACCTGCGGCTTTTCCTTCTCCTCTTTATCTTCCTCCGGAGGCTCCTCAGCTGGCGGTAGGGGGTCGCTCAGCTCGCTCACCACCTTCAGCTCCACTCCGCCTTCCTCCGCCTCGATCTCAGCCTCCGCCACGGCATTGCAGTAGCTGGAGTAGCTGTCGTAGCGCAGACGTTTCTTGGAGTAGGTCACAGCGTCTCCCACCAGCTTCTCGTTATCCTCCACCCCGACAAAGTCCGAGGATTTGAAGGAGGACTGGACAGGCATGCCGCAGATGGCTGCCGTGTAGCACGTGTAGCTGTTGTTTCGGCGGAGGAGACGGTAAGAGTTGTCAGGCAGCATACGGTCGTCGGTGAGCCGGTCCAGGTGGATCTTGTGCAACAGATCTTTGTAGAGGCCGGAGTCCTTGTGGACCGTGTGGTACACGTGGCCGTCGCTCCTCGTGTGACCTTCAAAACTAAACGTACCGTTGGACACCGGCGACTTCAGGCAGCCGTTGGTGAGGGATGCAGCTCTTACTGCAAAAACAAAGATGCGGGGTAAACAAGGACGTTAAAAAGATGACGACAAATTGGTCACTTCAATCCCACGACTGTTTGTGGGGACGCTGCTTTGCGCAATTAGCTGCAATATTCAGTCGATTGACTTTACAGTAAATTCCGTGAAGCGTTTTGAGACGTCTCGAAGACGTGAAGAGGCGCTATATCAAACGCGAGGATTGTTATTGTACTATATTGTATGTAAGGAGATGGAAATTTGATTACAAGACATTTAGGTTTCATCCCAGATCGCAGCATGACAGTCGGGGAAGGTGAAGAGGAAGACCAAGTCAGACAAACCCTGCCCCTAATGTGTGGACTTTAAGGGTGAAAAGATTGGGCTTGACTGTGATTGACGGAGGGGAGTGGGGAAGGGAGATAAAAAGCCCCAAATGACTACTCTCCAATCTCACCACAGATTCACATTATCCAAAGCTTCATTTTGTGTGTTCAATAAACATTTAGGTTATTGGAAAGAATTATACTTTGCTTTGAAGAAAAGGCGAGTTCCATTATATAATGTTAAGGTTCCACCTTTCACAGCACTTCTCTACATGGAGTTCTACAAAAGCTCTCCAGCGTGTTGGCCTATTTCAATGAATTGAATTGGGCAAAAGTTGGGATTTACAAAAAATAACCTGTAACAAGTATCTGGAAAGAGATCTCCTCGGGCTGTGAACCAGCTACTTTTGTGTCCTACTTTGGAAGCTCCGCTCGGAGCAAATTTCTCATGTGGGGGAGAAGGGGGCAGGGGGAGAGCTCACATCCCTTTGGCTACATGCTGGATCCCAGTGGCCCCAAATCCACCTAGTTTTAGCCTGCAAGATAATTTTGTCTTCACATTTAATTGGGGAAAAATCCTAAATTGAAACTCGATTTGAAATCTTAACTACAGAAAAAAAACTTCCTAATTCTGCCCTGTCTTAAAGACTTAGACTGAGTGTGCAGGTCCCAAATCTTATCCTGCTCATGGAACGCAAACAAAGTACTGAATTAGACTGCGTGCAACTGGCTGCCATGTTTCGCCCACAGAATACAGTCAATCCACTTTATAGTGTATTCTGTGAAGCGCTTTGAGACATTTCAACAATGTAATAGGGCGTTATATCAAACGCAAAGATTAATATTAATATAGGCTATTCGGCCCATCTGATCCTTGCTGCTGGCCAGATGCCAATTCTGAGCAGTCTGCATCCTTCCAGAAGCCAAGCACACCACATGCACGGCAAGGTGAGAAATGTTCTTCCCATTTCCAAGAAGTGCTGTGACATATTGCAAGGGAGCTATACACGACCCGAGAGCAAATAAAGATCATTTACATCCCTGACATTTCTTAGCCACTCACTCAAACAGAATGTGCGTTATGTCCGAGAAAACCTGGGAGAATTTCCTGCAGTGAAGGACATCTAGGTCACCATTCGGTTATTAGAAATCGGTATTTATCAAGCCAGGTTTAACTAAAAGCTTTCCCTTTCCAGCCCTCCCCGGGATGGAATCGAGACAATATTCATAGGGCAGTCCCACCTGGAAACCTTCCCCATTTACTTCCTTTATCAACCTCTTGCTGATGGTGACAGTTTTATGTTGGACGAATTGAGGAGCGTCGCAGCATATCCACTTTCCATAAGAAACCACTCGGACACTAGGTTTATTGACTGACCGTATGGGATTCCAGTTGACCCATTGACGAGGCTCTCGGATGCTCCGGCGGGTGCCTCAGGAGCCCCGCTGGTGAGAGGCACCACGCACTCGTCAGCTGTTTTTGCACCCGGCAGCTCTTTAAACACGGGCGTTTCCTCATCTTGGCTCTTATCCAGGCTTTCGTCTGATATCCTGGACAGTGCACCTTGCTTCTTTAATTTACCTGAAAGATAAACGTTTGCATTACATCGACAAGCTTCTATTTACCTAGCAGTAAGTAGGAACCCGGGTGCTCGTCGATTGGCAGATCACTTTCCAGGGGGTAAATATCCTCCCCCACAAAAAATAAGTTAATTTAATTTGGTCACTCAATCAATAGCCGAATGTGGGACACTGAGGCGCGCAATTGGCTCCTACGTTTAGCCCACAAAATACACCGTCAATCCACTTTGCAACACATTCTGTGAAGCGCTTTGAGGCGTCTCAATGAAGTGAAAAAGCACTGTATCAAATGCAATTATTTTTATTATTATTAAGGATTTTGTATTTAATGTTTCATGCAACAGCTTGAATGAATGGCAGAAACTTACTTTCTATCCTTTTCCTCATCCAGGGACATACAAGCAGCCAGACGATGACTGCACACAGAAGAGCTGCACCGATGGTGACCAGTGCTATTACCCAGGCAGGAACAATGTCCAGTCCAAGCACTAGAAGCAAAGATGCAACACAATTCATTACTTTAATGTCCAGTGTATAACCTTCCCTGAAGCTGGCAACCTAGTGGCAAACCTTTAAATAAGCAGTGTAGCATTTCAACTGAAAACACGTTTGTTTTTTTGTAAAACGGAAGCATATTTCCAGGGGCAGTGAGGGGGTGGCAAGAAAATCATTGAAATTTACAGCGGAGGAGGAGGCCACTTGGCCATCAGTCTGCACTGGCTCTCAGAGCAAGATGTTCATTCAATCCCACTGTCCCACCCTATCGATGTACCGCTTCACACCTCTATTCTTCATATACCTTTCTACTTCCCAGTTAAAAAACCCCAATGGGCTTGGTCTGTACCACCTTACTTGGTAGGGCATTTGAAAAAAATCTAAGCTCTCCCAATATCTTTAGCAGATAACCATTATTATTTGAGACTCAGCCATTGTTGTATCATGGGATGGCCTCCTGACTTGAAAGCCGCTGTACAAATGTAAGTTGTTGTTGTTGCTTTGCTGTTCACTGTAATCAGCAAAATGACTGAAATTCAGATCTTCTAAAATTAGCCACAAAGGATTTGATTTTCATAAACAAATTTCAGGGGTGCAGGAACCCAGCCAGTTACTACCTCTATCCTTTCTTGGGGACCATAGGTAAGGTTTACAATAACAGACATGGCATGTGACTGGAGTTGTCCAATTTATAGTCCCTATCACCAGAAAAGAGACTGCCCCAGCCGTCTGGACAAGATGGACGGACTGAAGCACGTTCCAGAAATAAAACCCACATCCCCATTCAATTCCTCTCTGGTGCTTAGTTTAAAGCAAGCATATTTATGAAAATGCAGGCAGCTTTCTGGGATTCACAAAGCTGCAAAACTTCAGAGTTTAGAACTTAATGTACCAGTTTTTTTTTTTCTGTGTGTGTCCCCCACCCACCATTTAAAATTTCTCAAAATGCACACCGCACAATTAGTCTGATTGCATTATAGTTGTGTGTTCATGATCAGAGTTCTGGCTACTGACTTAGACGTAGCTCCTAAGGAAGGGACTTCCTGCACCTGCACAGTACACTCAGGGGGTGACAGCAGCGACCTGGAAGTCAAACGTTTTTTTTCATGCTTCCCTTTCACATGATCTCTGAGCTATTGGACCCAGAGGACTGCGTTAACATAAAATATACAATGTTTTATTACTCATTACTTTTGAGGGACAATATATTTCAGAAACAATTCCCTAATTGCAGGCATTGCTGATTTACAATGCAGATCACCGTCAGAGCAAAAACAAAATCAAAGATTTTCTTCAACTTGGAAGGCACTGCTTCGTACAACAACTCGACATTAATGGATACGGTTCACCAGGAAGCCTTGTTCAATTTAATGTTTCCAACTTTGGCCACAGAGATTAGAGCAGATAGTAGGCAGAAGTTGACTCAGATGTTTCCTTGACTTACTTGGAGTTCCCGTGTACATGATAGAGAAGGTATTAATTCCTACAGTAGCAGCATAAAACAATGGAAGTGCTCTCAAGCCATTTGGCACTGGGTTTTCCTACGGAAATAAAGTTGGAAGAGTTAGCCCCGACAGGAAGGAGAGACTGGAGCAACAATCGTACAATTCGCAGGACTTATAAAAAGTTGAAAATATATACCTTATTCAGGATGAAATATCTTATTAGGATGAAAAGCAAGCCAGACATCAAACCAGAGAGTAGAGGGGAAATGAACCATGAGGCAACTGTAAAAAGTACAAAATACCATAAAACTCAGTAACAAGATAGTCAGACCACACGTTTTATTGTGCATTCCCCAATTTAACAGAAACAAAAGACATTGCAATTTTCAAACATTTCTGTGTATTGAACGACTGTCAAGGTTATTTCTCCATTTATTCAGCGATCGGGTCCCTTGAGTTAGACAAAGACTCACATACTGGCAGCTAATTTCAGTTTTGTAAAAGCAGTCAGTGCTAACAATATAGCTAACCTCAGCATGGAACAAAGGTCTGGTTCTCGCTATCTCTAGAGCTGCTCATATAACAGCTGTGCTTTGATTCTGCTTCAATATAGAAACAGGAGTAGCTATTCAGCCCCTTGAGCATGTTTCACCATTTTATAAGACCATGGCTGATCTGTACCTCAAGTCCAGCTACCTGGCCTTGCCCCGGATCCCTTAATATCCTGACCTAATAAATATCTATCGATCTTCATCTTGAAGATGTGAATGGATCCAGCATTCGCAGCTTTTTTGGGGAGAGAGTTCCAGATATAACTATTCAAGCTTAAATTGCAATTTCTTCAAACCCAAGTTTGAATTTTAATCAAAATTTTAATCAGATGGTTCTTATCAGAATAGGTAGAGGATTTTTATTTATTTTTAAATTAAGGCTAAAATAAGTGGCGAGTCGTTTATCTTGCAGATCAGGCAGCTATTTCATACTGTAGGTTGTCATAAACCCGGCTATGAAATTATCCCGATTCCAGATTACAGAGCAGTCACTGTCCTTGTGTTCATCCTGATTTATGGAGCAGGTCCTGGATTATAGAGGACTATGCTCCACAAACCAGGAACAGTACAAGGGCAGGACCCACACGCCCATCTGAGCAGAATATAAAAGCTGCAGAGAGAAAAACAAACCCACACAGGCAGGTGGTGAAAACGCTCTCTCTAAAGGAAGAGGCAAGAATGGAGTCTCATTGTAATGTATATTTTTTGGCTTCAGATTTCTTAGATGGGGAAACAGATATCCGCTATAAATCTGTCATTTACCAATAAAACACTCACAATACAAACTTCCTCAACCCCACAATCTTGGTTGGTTGTGACATGTGAAAATATTAAAATTCCTAAATATTTTAGGGTTTGGGAAACATGGAGAGAAGTCAACTAAACAAAGCACAGGGAATGTGCGGGTAACTTGATATTACCTATATATAATACGGGCCAAAAAGATCTTCATGATGTCACAACATAAACACCCTAATAGAGACTTAGTGTTCTTACCTGCCAAAGACAACCAAGTGACTATTCTCTTCACCCCCCAACCCCGTCACAGCATGAGTTTTCACACCAGCCACTGAACAATGAAATATACAGGGACCTTCTACTGCCATTACAGTACATCTAACTAATTGGTCACCATACAAGGACTGGATTGTACAGCTAAGTTGTGTGCATTAAAATAGGTCTCAGAAATTTTAAGTTATAACATAACACCTGGACATTACCTCAAGATTTAGTGTAAAACACCTTCACTTATTACAACAACAAGATTCCATTTATAGAGCGCCTTTCACGTCGGGAGGATGTCCCAAGGCGCTGTACAGTTGGGTCAGGACCCGAGCATTGGGGGGAAACGGTCAGGGTGAGGGGAGGGAAGGGAGGGAGCGAGGAGGGGGTAGAGAGTCGAGCGGGGAGCTGAAGGCACGGTCAAAGAGAAAGGTCTTGAGATTTAGGAACCTTGAGATTTACAAAAAGATTTAGGATTTCCCATGAATGCACATTTGGTATTACCGTTGATCATGCTAGGAGGACTGTTTACTAAAACCTAGTGACCTTGGTCCGTCGGTAAACGTGTCACCAGAGAATTGGACTCCGGAATATTTGCTATCATGGGGGGAGCGGGGGGAAGGAAAAGACAGGAGAAAAATATCAAAGTAATAATAATAATCCTTGCTTTTGGTGTAGCACCTTTCACGTCTTCTAGACGTCTCAAAGCGCTTCACAAAATATACTGTAAAGTGAATTGATTATATTTTATGGGCGAAACGAGGCAGGCAATTACGCACAGCAGTGTCCCACAAACAGCCGTGGATTGAAGTGCTCAACTTTTTTTATTATTGCTTTTTTCTTGAGGGATTACTGTCAGGCGAGTGTGTGGAGTAAAGAAACTTGACCAAGGTTTCGCCCTGCCGGGAATCGAACCCAGGTCCTCTTGCAAGGCGAGCGCTCTAACCAATGAGCTACAGGACTCCTAACCACATTAGAATTCACGTTAGCTTCCAAAAGAGACCCAGATATTGATGTAAAAGGAGGGAACTGTCTAAAAAGGGTTTGGGGAAAAAAACAGGTAAATGGGAATTAAGATTCTTATAAAAAAGAGGCAGCACAGCCACCATAAAGTAAGCCGACTAGCCTTCTTCTGTGCTGTAAATCTCTAGGGTTCCTTGTTTGTGGGTGCGGTACAAAGGTTAATTTTAGTTTTTTTCCCCCAAAAAAAATTAAACGGGAAAGGAAGGTGACGTCAGTTTTTTTTTTAAACACTGTGATAAATATTCTCTCATTTTCTCTTCTCTCCTCATTAAAGTGAATTGGCTGCATTTTGTGGGTGAACGCCGTGACCAGGTTGCGCGCAGCAAAGTCGCACAAACATTCATGAAGTGAATGACCAATGTTTATTTGGGGGAATTGTTGGCCAGGAAGCCCGGAGAAACTCCCTTCTCTTTTCAAATAATGCCACGGGGTCCTCAATGTCGACCTGAACAGGCAGACGAGACCTCAGTTAAACATCTCATCGGAAGGACGGCAGCTCCAACAATGCAACACGTCCCCAGCACTGCACGGAGTGTCAGCTTGTCTTAGGCGATGAGTTCCAAGTCTGGGATGGGGGGGGGACTTGAACTCACAACCTTCTGACTCTGTGGTGTAAATGTCACCAACTGAGCCAACCCGACACCAAGTAGACAGGAAAGCATAATGTGAACGCTATAGACAATCGGTTCACATTTTCACTCGCCCTCACACGTAAAAGAAGATCGATTACCAATTTTGACAAGTTGCATCCATCGAACACTATGAGCACCGATTGCTACGAGCGAGAAACCTATGGTGGCTCCAACAATACAATGCGTGCCAGACACGGGAAGCTTCAAAAACGAAGCGATGAGCTGCCAGACAGCCGAGCCTAAAAAACACAAACATTTGTTAGCTCGTACAAGTCCGCACGCAACTTATAAAATGCGGCAAGAACGGAGTCTCGCTATAATGTACAATTATTTGACTTCAGCTTTCTTAGATGTGGAAACAGATATCCGCTATAAATCTGTCGTTAACCAATAAAACACTCACCATACAAACATCCTCAACCCCACAATCTTGGTCGGTTGTGACATGTGAAAATATTAAAATTCCCCAAATATTTTAGGGTTTGGGAAACATGGAGAGAAGTCAACTAAACAAAGCACATGGGATGGGCTGGTAAGTTGATATTATTATTATTAGCTGTGTATAAACTCACAAATATTTCAGGGTTTGGGATACATGGTAGGTATTCTTATTTTTTTTTAAAAAAGGGCAACTTTAGTAGTCTTAAAATAAAAATACCCCTCAAACTTATAGAGCTAACACATCTGCAGCCTCTTTGTCGTCTCCCTCCAGATCTTGGAGCAACAAGACGCAATGGGGATTCCCGTTGCATGTCTGTCTTACTGATGCTCGAAGAATTGTGTCGGGCTAAATACAGTCAGGAATATGCAGGCTCAGTTTGCTCAGCCCACACAGAGAAAGAAGAGCACAGCGTAAGGCAGATGGTGCCAATAGGGCAGTATTTAAAATGCACCTCTTCGGTTCTCGCTCACTGGATCCATGGCCCAGAATTCTACCAGCAGCAGAATCTTTAATTAAACACCACTCCTCCACACTTCCGCCAGTTAACAAACATTACAACCCGAGGGTAAATGACCGTGCGATTTGTTCTCGGAATTTGGAGAGTGCCTCGGTTTAAGATGGTCTTCCTGCATGGACTCAATGAAAATGCTTATTCACGCAATAGTAGAAATGTAAACTCTTTGCGTTATTTTACAACAACATGTGTTCATATAGCGCCCTCCACGCAGGGTAGCATCTCAGAGCGCCTTACCCATTATCATTATTTCCCTCTCCAATACCCCTGGATTCCATCAAGTTCTCTTAAATTATTGATTTTTTTTTGCTTCAATCACAGCTTTTGGCAGGATATCCAATCTCTTCTTTTACTCGCTGAAGAGTCCAATCTTTCCACCGACCAACTGAGGACAACGCCTTCATACGGCTAATACTTTAAGCTCTGAGACGTCTCGACGACGTGATACGGCGCTACATCAAATGCAAGGATTATTATTGTAATAACATTTTATTAACCTGGGAAGAGTCATTAATAAAAGGTGTTTGAATTAACATTTCGCTTTTGATTTACAAACCGATCCAGCTGTCCCCAGATCGATATCTAAAAATAACCAAACAGCAGCTATGGGGCTGCAGATTATAGACTTTCTGAATAATTTTGGAAGGATATTCTCTACATGGTACTACATTGTCAGGAAGAGCTTAGCAATAACCTGGAAAGAGTAAGACTATATGGGCACATTGGAAGAGTTCTGGTGTCAAACTACACATTGTGTAGGTGACAAATTAGGGTTAGGGTTACATGCAGAATATAGCCTATATTGTACACAAGTATGAGGGATTGGGGGATCTGCTCAGCTTCAGACAAAGTTGCCTTTGCTGGTGTATATTTAGCGCTTGCTTTCATCACCCAACACATGCCTAAAAGTGGTGTAGCGTAGAGTGTATCCACATTTAACTTGGTTATGCCCAGCTAAGACAGTTAGCCTGAGCAGACTCCAATCTAATCTGGGTCACTGACATTCAGAAAAGTTTGGAGCAGTATCTAGGCAGGACTAACAATCTGAGCAGATAAGGAAGGACCTGCTTTGCCCTCCTGCATCTCCCAACTCTCTCTCACAAGCCACTACCCAGCTTTGATCTTCAATCCAGAGGAACAACTGATCACCATCAACTGGCAAGTTACAAAAACCGGGTTTGCATTCCTCAGTTTGCCCAGTGTCGGTACTTTTTCAGTTTACATTCTTTTTCATATGACTTGTGAACAAGAAGCAGAGCAATTAAGAACCCTGGGTGGGCAAGCGAGCAGGCAACAAATATAATGGCTGGACGTCAAGATCAAAAATCACCTCAAAGCTGGGAAGTCCTTTTGAAGATATCAGAAACCAACAGCAAGTTCTGGGAATAATGTAGTTTAAAATCCCCAAATTACCCCCTCAAAATGTAATGAGTTTGACAGAGTGTTAAAGATCAATCAGGTCCTTATAGCATCTATTGGTGTAAGGGGAGGGGGGTAAGGGAATAGCATCTTCACAACACACAGACTGCTGGTCCTGTTAAATTAGTTTAGGAATTTAGTGTGTGCAAAGTTGCAAACTACAGCAACATTACATTACAAAAGAAACTCAAAATCAGTCATTGTCAAAATCACCTGCTGGACTGGAGGAGATTATCCTGGAATCTCCAGGAAGGAAATAAATTTCTGTTAATACATTTTCTAGGAACGTAATTACAGGACTATACAAGAGAAAAGGCTACAGGCCAAAATACAGGCGTAAGATTCATCAGAATAAGTTACATTGGATGAACTAAGGAATGCTGAGTGTTGATAAACAAAACTAATCACACAGGGAGGAAGTTAAAAGGACTAATATGAAAAGGATTTGGTTCTAGGTACCAACTATCAACTATTCACTCAACGTGAAGCCGATTAATCAAGTTAATCCAGTCCTGGGAAGCATCAAGGGGTTTTGCTTAAACGTTCAGCAGATTTAACTCTGTGCAAGGCCACATTTTGAAAACTCTACATAATTTTGAATCAACTACAAAACAAGGGACAATTGTCCTTTGGAGAAGGCTTACAGTACAGCAGTAAGGATGAATCTAGGGCTTAGGGCTCAACCTAATAATAATAATCCTTGCATTTGATATAGCGCTTTTCACGTCGGGAGGACGTCCCAAAGCGCTTCACAGAACACACTGTAAAGTGAATTGACTGCATATTTGTGGGCGAACGCGGCAGCCAATTGCGCACAGCAATGTCCCACAAACAGTCGTAGATTGAAAATGACCAATTTATTATTGTTTTGGAGGGATTATTATTAGGCTCTGTGTGGAGTAAGGAAACTTGCCCAAGGTTTCGCCCTCTGCCTGGAATTGAACTCAGGTCTCTCGTTTGCAAAGCGAGTGCTCTAACCACTGAGCTACAGGACTCCTACAACCTAAGAGGCAATGAACCAGACAAAGCACCAGCCACAATTGAAAGTAAGCAAAAATCAGTGGGAATATGAGCCAAGACTAAATAATAATAATTGCATTTGATATAACACCTTACCATGGGATCAAGATGTCTCAAAGCGCTTCACAGAATATACTGTAAAGTGGAATGACTGTTTGAACAAGAAAAACGTGGGACACAAGTTTCAATTTTACACGGTATATAAGAAAGCGATCAGTCTGGTCAAAGGTGTCATGAACAGCACGATCATCCTATTCAGTCTAACAACAACTTGCATTTATAGTGTCCTTCATGCAGGGTGGTGTACCAGAACACTTTAAGCACTGAGAACCATGCTGGACATGGGACAGGTGCCGACAACCATAGTTTTGAGACGTGGATCCTACGATCACAGATACAGGAAACCTATTCCAGGAATGGCAAAATATCTCCTTGATGTTGCTCAAGGTTCTTTTAATCTAAGAACATGCTCATGGTGCTGTTGCCACCTAGTCCTCACTTAGTTAGGTAAGCAGTCGAGTGAGCTCACACGGGGGAGATAGTATAGATAAAAGTACCAGATCACTAAATGCACTTGAAAAAGGTGTCCACAAATTTGATTAATATTAAGATTGAATCACATTAGATTTGCAAATATACAAAAAATAAACTAATTCACGAGAGTCTAGAAGTACAGAACCTGGAGACAGTGGAATCATATAATGGGATGATAAGACTCTCAAACTCTAGAGGCTTGAATTCCCTTTAGTCTAAGCCCACAAAACCATTTTGTTTTAGTATACAATTGTGCAGAACTGCAAAAAATTCTTAATTTTTTCAAAACTGCACAAAGCCAATTTCCAAATTAAGATTGAAATTTATTTTTTTCACCAATTCTGCAATATCTTAAATGTTAAGACAAAATGGTCTTACAGAGCGCAGCAGGATGCTATCTTGTGCGGAGTCCTATATCAATGCAAGTCGTTGTTGTACAGGCTTCGACTAGATGGAAGTTCAGGTCTGGGGGCAATCCAACAGCAAGGTCAGTCATGCATGTGACCTTCCCAGTGAAATAGAAGTACTAACTTTTGAGGAATCAAAAGAGAGTAAGAAATTAATCGTATCTTTTCTCCCCAAAGTATTCTCTGACAACTGTTGTCCCAACATGAAAGACGCTATACAAATGTAATTTGTTGTCGTTATAATATCCAGGCTCTGTGACTTATAATAATCATTGCGTTTGATCTAGCGCCTTATCATGTCTTCGAGACGTCTCAAAGCGCTTCACTGAATACAGTGTAAAGTCAATTGACTGTATATGTTGTGGGCTGTTACTTACCAACCATCGCACTGACTTCACCAGCCATCAGAATTTGCTCGCTGCCATTGTACATGCCGACATCGATGATGCCCTTCCGGATGGTTTCTCCGACCTTTGCTCCCAGTAATACCGAACCAGCAGTTTCAAAAATTGAAGCAAGAATGCAGGCTTGACGTAGTGTCACTACTCCAGACCCCACGGCAGTACCAAAAGAATTGGCCACATCGTTTGCACCCACAGAAAACGCAAGGATAAAGGCAATTATAAAGCCCAAAATTACCATCCACATGTAATTCTCCAGCATCATGTTTGCGTTTTAATTAGCGGAGGGGGGAAAGAAAAAAAAATCTTCAGTTCAAGTTTCCGTAAACAATGGTTTCTTCGGTGAAAGTGCTTATAGTGTTCAGAGATGTTGTACTGCTAACTAATGTATTTCTGGGTAGTGTTAATGCAGTCTGTTAGGCTCAGGGTTGTCAGCAGGCAAATGCATTCCATATTTTGTTCTCAACTTGGAAATGACAGGAGATGTTCAGCTCCTGAAAAAGAAAAAAGGGTAAAACAAAAACGCGGTCATCATTGGATCAACACATTTTACACATCTGTTACATCAGACACATTCCCACAGTCAAATCACCGGGCTGAACAGCTATAGAAGACCCTTCTTCCCGCAAAACCTGACATATCCCCCCCACACACCCCGACAACAGATTCACCCCACACATACACCCCCCCCCCACCCTCCAACATAACCCCTTACACAGACTTTGACAAACCAACACACAACACATTCCTTCCTTATGACACAGACACCACAGCCATTCTCTAGTTATTAGAATCTCATTATAATAAAGAGCCAATACAACGACACCACTCGACATCCAGGCAGCAGTACACTTGATCTACAGACGCACACCACCTAAAAAGAGCTCCACCCATTGCACCACTGCAGTCAAACTGAAGAGAACACTGCTCAAATCGGTCGGTTAAGGAGTGTTGTGGTTGAAACAGGATTTCCAATATGTGCAGATATAGCAGCCAACTTTTCACAATATTACAGCGATTCACAGCAAAGAGTCGACGCAAACACAATTAGGTTGTGCCATTGCAATGCCAGGGCAGTATTTCTGAGTGGAATTGACATTGTTTACAGATCAGCAACTGGGATGAAAATAGGAACATTCTGTGCTCATGAGAAAGACTCGACTTTGGTCGTGAATCTGTTTGATGGAATGGAATTTGCAATCGGATCAGATTGGATCTGTTTAGCAACAACGTTGGGCAAGTTTCCTTAATCCACACGCCTCTGTTTACCCAGTAATAAGTAGGAACTCGGTTGTTACATCCTTCAAATGACCAACAATTCATAAAATAAGTGGAAAGAGTTTTTAAAATAGCACTTCAAGTTTGAGATAAGAACGTCACTGAAATTAATTGTAGTGACTGTTTGTGGATGAATGCAACGGATATTTGTGTCAGGAGATCTCACAAAGAGCCATGAGTTGAATACACAGCAAAAACCTGCTCGTTCACACACCGATTGACCTGCTGTCCCTTTCCATAATCTCACTTTATATTTCATTTTCCTGAGCAATAATCTCAAAGGCACTTTAATGCAAAGGCACAGATAATGGAGTCCTGTCGCTCAGTGGTTAGAGTGCTTGTCTCGCAAGTGAGAGACCTGGGTGCGATTCCCAGAATGGGCGAAAGTTTCCTTACTCCACACGCTTCTGTTTGCATAGGTAGGAACCCGGTTGTTAGTCGATTCGTGGATCACTTTTCCGGGGATAATAATCCCTAAAAAATAACCCCAATAATTTGGTCACTGAATCCAAACCTGTTTGTGGGACACTGCTGTGCGCAATTGGCTGCTGCGTTTCGCCCGCAAATACAGTCACTTTACAGTATATTCTGTGAAGCGCTTTGAGACGTCGAGAAGCCGTGAAAAACGCTATATCAAATGCAAAGATTATTATTATTATAATAATAACGGGGAAGATTGCTTTAAACGCCCCAGTTCAAGACCTGAAACATGGCAAAGTTTTTTTTTTAAAAAAAAGGCAGCCACAAATGAATGCGCATGTTTTCCAGCTCCCAGTGCTGGGTTTGCCGGCCTCACAGCTCCCCAGCGAGGAAGGAGTGTGTGAAACTTAAAGACGTGCGACATTTTGAAGAGCTTGTAGCAGTTGACACAATCCAGTGCATTAACCCCACACCATTGATTCAAGGAATTCCTACTTCCTCACAAATCCAGCACAACAGGACCATTGTACGTCACTGACAGAGTGACAATTCCCCCTCCCCAGTATAAATGCCCAGCCCCCTTCCTTCACCTGATCGATTCGACTTGTGCACAACTTGAATTCATGGGATCGCCGAGCTCATCTGCTGAAAACTGCAGGTCAAGGAATTTGTGTAAAGCACAAGGCACACTATGCGCAAAGCTTAAAAATTGTCAACACGACAGCTTCGGTATTTCACGCCAGTGGTCTTTCTGCCTTGGATGTAGAGAAGAATTCTACATCTACTGTAGTTAGTGTTACAACAACAAAATGACATTTGTCGAGCGCCTTTCACATCGGGAGGACGTCCCAAAGCGCTGAACAGTCAGGTGTCGGGGCCCGAGCATGGGGGAGGGGTGGGGTAGGGGTGAGGGAAGGCAGAGAGGTGGGAGGGAGACCAAAGGCACGGCCGAAGAGAAAGGTCTTGAGACCGGCCTTGAAGGAGGTGAGGGAGGGAGCGAGGAGAGGGGACCATGGGATGGAGTTCCAGAGTGTGGGGGCAGAGAGGCTGAAAGCCCGGCCACCGATGGTAGGGCGGGTCGGGCGGGAGACATGGAGCAGACCGGAGCCCGATGAACGGAGGGAGCGGGCAGGCTCATAGGGAGTCAGCAGGTCAGAGAGGTAGGAGGGGGGGAGGCCATGGATGGTCTTAAAGGTGAGGACGAGGATCTTGAACTCGATCCTCTGGGGGATGGGGAGCCGGTGGGGTCGGGCGAGGGTGGGAGTGATGGGGTCACGGAGCCTGGTGCGTGAGAGTACACGAGCTGCAGAGTTTTGGATGATCTGCAGCTTGTGAAGGGAGGAGTTGGGAAGGTCGATGAGAAGGGAGTTCCTGTAATCGAGCCTTGAGGTGACGAATGCGTGGGTGAGGGTTTCGGCAGCCTGAGGGGTGCGGCAGTGGCAGAGTCTGGCAACGTTGCGGAGGTGAATGCATGGGCGAGGGTTTCAACAGTAGTCAGTTACAGGCCCTCTCTGCAGGCACCAACGTGTTAGATGATTCTGATCAGAATTCCTCCCACTCACTGATGTCAGTGACATGCCGTTCAGAATCACATTTCAAAAGAAATTAGCCCGGATGGTATCCTGAGCCCCATCCCACTGCATTCCCGAGCCTCCATCCAACACATGGCTCGATTTCAGCACCAAATCTGTATTGATGTTTCAGCTGAGAAGCTACTCGCCAGTTCTGGGAATCTCTACTTAAATCACCAAAATAATCAGTTCCTTTTGGTTTGGATGCATCACTGCGCTGGCTATAAAAGGCCATTTTCAAAAGGCTGAACTTTTGTCAGATCTGATATGAAACTCCCCATTGAGCCAAGCCTTTGAAATGAGCCGCTCAGCTTCAATCTGTGTCTTGTTGACAGGAAGATGACTGAAGGCTCTCCACAACAGACCGCAGAAATTCTCCCAGAACCACGGAGAGCTCCATGGAAACTGCCCACTGCCCCCCACTGTCTCTGAATGAATGTTCCAGGTATCTCTGAGCATCAAACAAGAGAACTCAAACTACACCGGCAAGCGATTCTGGTTTAGAAAGTCAAAACTAGAAGGAATAAAAAAAAAAAAAGTTGAATATTACCATGAAGCTATATAATCCCTGCGTTTGATACAGCGCTTTTCCCGTCTTCTAGACGTCTCAAAGCGCTTCAGAATATACTGTAAAGTGAATTGACTGCATAAATAATCCCTCCAAAACAAAAGAATAATAAGTTGGTCATTTTCAATCCACGACTGTTTGTGGGACGCTGCTGTGCGCAATTGGCTGCCGCGTTTCGCCCACAAATATACGGTCAATTCACTTTACAGTGTGTTCTGTGAAGCGCTTTGGGACGTCCTCCCGACGTGAAAAGCGCTATATCAAATGCAAGCTTGGATCTACAGTAATTAGTGTTACATACCCCCTCTGTACGCTAACGTATGCCTTACATAGTTTAAATGTGTGTCAGCATGGCTCATTTGGTAGCACTGTCATGTCTGAGTCAGGAGGTTGGGGGTTCAAGCCCCACCACTGAATTTTCAACTCCAGAGTCTAAGCCAATGCTCCAGTGCAGTGAGGTGGGTGTATTGCTTTGATGGAGCAGATGACATGTTAAAACAAGGTCCCGTCTGCCTGTCCAGAAGGGCATTAAGGATTCCATGGCACAACTCAAAAAGAGAAGGGATTTTCGCCCAGTGTCCCAGCCAACAATCCCTCAAATAAAATTGGTCAATTACTCCATAGCTGTTCGTGGATCATTGCAGTGTTTTCCTACTAGTACATAGCCACTACTGTAAAGTTCTATGAAGTGCTTCAAAATGTCTTCCTGAATGTGAAAGGTGATATATCGAATGTAAGGATTATTACACCGGAGATATATTATTATTGGCAGAGATATTTATCCCGATTGTGCTATTGCGTGAGTGCCGGTTACCGAACACAAAACTGTTAAATCAAAGCCATCACAACTTTCAACGAGGATGAGAAAACCTTCAGTTCTCCAGCACTTCATTTCAATTACGATATTACAAAATAAAAAACAACACAACATAACAGACCTCGGTGCTAGAAATCCATCTGGCAAACACAGCTGAGAATAGAAACTTACTGTAAGCTGCAGGAAGCAGTCCTAGATGCGGTAAAGCCCCCCAGGGTAACCTTTCCCCTGCAGGGAAGGAGGTGGACACACCAGTTAGAGATTTATTGGCAAGATGCAGGCACGTTCTGCGGGAGTTGTGCGACCTCCAGATAGACAGGTGCCCTCTGGAGCTACTGCATCGTATCCACCACAATTCTGGAGGCTCCCTTAAAAAAGGCATTTGGCCTCATTGTCTAAACGCTGGTACAATCCAGCAAACCATTTAGAAAATGAGCACACTGTGCACTGCACAATGGTGACTTGTATGGTGCTGGGACAGAAAGCACAGCCGTGCCTCTCTCCCTCTCACAAAACACCGCGCACGACCAATAAAAGATCATTTTGACAAATAGATAATGGACAATGAGTGACGTTGAAAATTTACGTCAATCATAAACAAGCATTTAGAATGTGATTTTCAGCACCTTAACGCTGAAATATCTCAAAGCAATGAATTATTTACTGTTACGCAGAGTAAACTTATCTTTTCCCCCACAGGCAAATGTGGCAGCCATTTTGAGCGCAGTAAGGTAGGAGGTGATTGACCAATTTATCTGGAGGATTGATCGCCACAGTGCTATGGGATCTCTGATAAATAAGCAGAGGCAATCCCAATTTAACGTCTCAGTTGATGGATTGTACTGCAGAGTAGCACCCCACTCAGAGTGTCATCCTGGACTGTAAATTAAAGTCCTGATGTGGAGCTTGAACCTGCAATTTTCTGATCTACAGGAGAGTCTGTTGCTGGGGATTTAACTGAAAGACTTCATTTCTAAACCAAAATATATATTAAACGCTGCCGCGTTTCACCCACAAATATACAGTCAATTCACTTTACAGTATATTCCGTGAAGCGCTTTGAGATGTCTAGAAGACGTGAAAAGCGCTGTAACAAATGCAAGGATTATTATTCTATATATATATATGTGCCCTCACTTTGTAAACATAAGAAACAGTCACTGCACTGTGTGTGAGCGACATGACATCTCGCATCTAGTACTCCGAACTCTCAACACTGACAACAACCCAGATAGAGATGGAGAGCTGCTTGCTCCAAATAGAGAAAGAACCCTACAATCCCCAGATGAAGATACATCAAGAGAGATAGAAAGCTACAAGGTCCAGATGGAGAAATACAAACCAATTTATTTGAGGACACATAATAATACTTGCATTTGATACAGAGCTTTAACATGTCATGGGGACTTCTCAAAGCGCTTCAAAGACTACACTGTAAAATGTGGGGATTGTTTAGTCTGTGGGTGAAACGCGGCAGCCAATTGTGCACAGCAGTGCCCCACAAACAGCCGTGGATCAAGTAGCCAAATTATTATTTTTTTTTTGAAGGGATTATTACCCCTGGAAGGTGATCCACCAATCGACTAACAAGCAGGTTCCTATTTACTGCTTAGTAAACAAAGGCGTGTGTGTGTGTGTGGAGTAAGGAAACTTGCCTAAGGTTTCACCTTGCCCGGGAAACCTTGCAAACCTAGGTCCTCTCGCTTGTGAGGCGAGTGCGGTAACCACTACGCTACAGGACTCCACAATGGAGGGGGTAAAGGAGAGTGGGAGAGAACTGCAGATTTTGGGAGAGGAAGGAAGGGAGAGGTGGAGAGGGAGAGGGAAATGAGTCAATCTATTGCCTCGAGACGGATCCGGTTAGGATTCTCAGAATGCCGGACAGCAATCCTGTATTGAACGAGAGCTTTCACATTGAGAGGCCAGAATGAACTGTCCATCTCCACGCAAGGGTGGTGGGTGTCTATATATGGAACGCGCACTCTCCCCTTTAAGGAAGATAGTAAGATAGCTACAAGCCCAGATACAGAGAGAGAGAAAAAGAAAAACAAACCCAGAGACAGAGAAAAGAGAGATATATAAAGAAAAGAGAGATACAAACACAGTACTTACTATTAGCTGCAATCGTAAGTGAGCATTTGTAAGTAAACAAACCCTCAGCAAAGTCGAACTAAAAATAGTCCTGCGTAGCCTTTTCGCTAGAAAGATCAATTCTTGCTTGCGATCAGTCTCGTGGGACAGATTACAGTGGACACCCTCGGAAACCTAGCAACTGGCCAGATTGATTTCACTCACACTGAGAGCGAGAGAGAGAGAGAGAGAGAGAGAGAGAAAGTTTGCGTGACATAACTCGTGGAGCTGCAGAGAGTGACTGTTGTTCCAGGGCTCGCTCGTTCGACCCCACCATAGAGAGCTCTCAGAAAGCGTGTGCTCCTCTTATGAATCCACTCGCTGTCACTCAGCATTAACAGCCGGGTGGGGAATGGTGGGAGGGCCTCACTGATGGCATCACAGCCATGTGTTGCACATGCACAGGCCACTTGCTTGGCTGGAATGCTGGGCGCCTGTCCAAGCTATGGATTAAATTCACAGGAGCAACTGAGTCATTTATATTGTATCTCAACAACGGAGATTGGCAAGATTTAAATCCGATCAATCACAGGTCTCGACAGGAGAATATTTTTTTTTTTTTTTTTTTGCTCCGTAAAGCCACTTACTTGCATACATTGAAAGGGTGTTTGGATTAAACTCTGATTTCAGCCAATCAATCCACTCTAGTTATGTCCAGGGAAATTGTTTAAGAAGCAGCTAAAGCTAACGGCCAACAGCAAATTCTGCACTGAAATAAAAATGATTTGTTCAACACATTATCCAAAGGTCAAGTGGATTTGCTGGATTTCAGGCACTGATCTGTGGAAGACAGCGGTGCTTTTCTACTTGTTCATATGTTCATTGTGCCCACAAAATACAGTGAATTCACTTTACAGTATATTCTGTGAAGCGCTTTGAGACGCCTAGAAGAAATGAAAAGGTGCTACATCAAATGCAAGGATTATTATTATTATTGCTATTATTATGACAAGAGGTGCATCTGGTCTGGTACGATACAGATTTGGCAGAGAGCAACCAAGCAGTAATATGTAACAGTGGCTGAGTCAATAACTTATAAGTGGTTGAGTTACTAGTGACGGTCCCAAAAAAGCTGGGTAGGTCGTGTAACTATCCTTCATCTTTTTCCTGTGTGACCAACTGTTTCCATCTTAAAAATATCACGTCAACAAACTCAAATCCAATCCTAGTTTGACGTGTCCCGCTCCGTGGCTCGAGAGCCTTAATAGTACAACAATGAAAAAAAGAAGGGAGTCATCGCCGAGAAAACATTTACAGCTCTCACCGACAGTATGAGAGCGCAGCCAGAATACTACAAACGAGGGGCTTGAGTCGTGCCTGAGAACTGTACAACCTTACAGCACAGCTTCTGTGCTGTAACTCAGCCCATCAGTTCTGCGCTGGGCTCTGAACGCAAATCTAATCCCACTCTCAGGCTCACTCCCCCACCCGTTAATGTTCCTCCTCCTCCTCCTCGAAGAAGTTATTAATGGACCTTGCTTCAAAGACGGATTGTGGCTGATAATTACACATTCCAGCCGCCCGCTGCGTAAAGTTTTTTTTTTTTTTTTGTCTGACCCACCCAGTTCTGTTTGGAATTATCCTGCGCCCTCTCGTTACTCACTCACCAAAGAATGGGGACGAATGGAATAATTTATCGCTGTTTACCTTTGCCTAACCTTAAAGACCTTGATCAGGTCACCCTTAACCTACTCAGCTCTAGGGATTTAAGCTCTCGTTTCTCTTGATGACTGAAACCCTTGCCAAGGGTTACCAAGGAACAGTTGAGTGAATCTGCTCATCTTGTTTCCATTGCTTTGTGCACGCTTATGTTCGGCCACGAATGTTTTTATTGAAGGGCCTAGGAAAATCTGTTCTTCCAATTCTTAATTTAGAGCAAACTGACGTCAAAACGCCACCTTTCCCTGCTGTAGGAACATTGCTGCTATACTCCCCTCAAGTGTCCAGTACAGTTCTACTGTACAAAACACTCCTATTCTCAAGACTGTAATTGGTCAAACGCTTGGTGTGAAAACGTAAACAGAATCTGCCTCTTATACCAGTGGATACGCATCTCGAGGATTCCAACAGAACTATTTTTAGCAACACTGAAGGGCCAGTCGAGCGAAACGTTTCTATATGGAGTTGCAGTATGGAATTTATTTACTCGTGCATCTCTACAGTTGGCAAAAGACCAGTCATTAATGTTCCACTACTACTCGATCACTGCTATCGTTTCAAGAACTTCCAGAGATAAAACCTAAATCAAGTCAAACGCGTTTTTCTCGGCACTTTCCTACGTTCGCCACTTTTACTTCTCCGGATTGCCAGAGTTCTACGAGGCGCCGTTTCTGGGCCATCTTGTACCAACATAGCCCTAAAGTAAAGCTGGCAACAAATTAGACAATTGCATTCACATTCATGGAGGCAAAATACAATCGATTAAAAAAAAATTCAGTTCTTTACTTTCAGGACATAGAGACTTCCAGCTTAAAGTTATAATTTAATGCATAATCTACCTATAAGCGATCTACTTTCTGTGAAGAGCTTTCAGATACATGATAAGGTGCTGTATCAATGCAAGGCTTATTATAATGACGAACATCTTCAGTATTATTTTTTTTAATTCCCTGATCTAAAAACAGGTATATGTTTATAGCAGCTTTTTACATGTCAAGACATCTCAAAGCACTCCACAATAATTACATCAAGAGCAATGATGGTTTTGCATGTGCATTCTCCATTATCCCGCTCTCATTTCAAGCAAGAAGACTTTCGAACACTGATGTAGAACCCTGTCAAACCTATGGGGTAAGCGTTCACGGATAACTGTGGTGATTTATTAAACGTACACTCAAATGTGGAAAACATGACAAATCTTCCAGCACACGGCTAAACTCAGAGCTGCGTTCAAACAGGGATAGCCGGTGGCAGATTTGACAGAATCATTTAAGTCATTCTCAATGACGTGATAAGGTGCTACATCAAATACGAGGATTATTATTATTAGATAAAAGCTTGAAACTGGGGCTCTCTAGTGATACAGCAAGAAAGTGGTTGAACAGATTGATCTACAGTGTTATCCCGAGATCAAGGTGGAGGTAGATAAATATGTGTTAGGTCAGGGTATTAAGAGATATGGGGTAAGGGCGGGTAACTGGACTTGAGGTACAGATCAGCCATGATCCTATAAAATGGTGGAACAGGCTCGAGGATCTGAATAACCTACTCCTGTTTCTATGTCTATGTATCTGAGGATTGATCTATTATTATTATTACAGTGCTGTCCAGCTGCAGGTTTTGTAGCATGGTCAGGCAAGAGTCTGTATCCGGTTTTAGATCCACTGAGCTAATAAAACTCAATACGGACTGAAGATGAACTGTCTGACCCGAGCTCCATATAAAACCTTTGAGGGATGATACCCTTTTCCAAAATGAATGATCGTCACAACCTGAACTGCCTGACCCGAGGAGGCTGAAGAATAATTTTTAATGGGACTACAGAATAACTACAGGCACATAGACAGAAGTCAACACACCAGCTATGATCACAGTGTCAGTGTTTCAACAACAACAACGAAATGATATTTATAAAGCGCCTTTCACGTCAGGAGGACATCCCAAAGCGCTGAACAGTCAGGCGTTCGGCCCCGAGCATAAGGGAGGGGTGGTGTAGGGTTGAGGGAAGGCAGAGAGTTGGGAGGGCGACCAAAGGCACAATCGAAGAGAAAGGTCTTGAGACCGGCCTTGAGGGAGGCGAGGGAGGAAGCGAGGTGAAGGGACTGTGGGATGGAGTTCCAGAGCGTGGGGGCAGAGAGGCTGAAAGCCCGGCCACCGATGGTAGGGCGGGTCGGGCGGGAGACATGGAGCAGACCGGAGCCCGATGAACGGAGGGAGTGGGCAGGTTGGTAGGGAGTCAGCAGGTCAGAGAGGAGGGGGCAAGGCCATGGATGGACTTAAAGGTGAGGACGAGGATCTTGAACTCGATCCTCTGGGGGATGGGGAGCCAGTGGGGTCGGGCGAGGGTGGGTGTGATGGGGTCACGGAGCCTGGTGCGTGAGAGTACACGAGCTGCAGAGTTTTGGATGATCTGCAGCTTGTGAAGGGAGGAGTTGGGAAGGTCGATGAGGAGGGAGTTCCCGTAATCGAGCCTTGAGGTGACGAATGCGTGGGTGAGGGTTTCGGCAGCCTGAGGGGTGCGGCAGTGGCAGAGTCTGACAACATTGCGGAGGTGCTGGTAGGCAGTGCCGGTCATGGCGCGGATGTGGGAGAGAAAGGAAAGTTCAGGGTCAAAGAAGACCCCCAGGTTCCTGACTGGCTTAGTGAGGTTGAGTGTGCAGCCGTGGAGGCTGATGCTGCCAGCGCCCGAGGTGCGGAGGGGCTGGCACGAGCCAATCAGGAGGGTCTCGGTCTTGCTGACGTTGAGTTGGAGAAAGTTGTCCCTCGTCCAGGACTTGATGTCCGACAGGCAGTTGGTCAGGACACCAGTAGTCTTGGAGTTGAGGGTGAGGCAGAAAGATAGAGTTGGGTGCCATCCGCATACATGTGGAAATTTACCCCATGTCTGCGGATAATGTCACCACAGGGGGAGCACGTAGAGGGTGAAGAGGAGGGGACCGAGGACAGAGCCCTGAGGAACACCGAACGAGACGGTGCGGGGGCTGGAGAAGCTGTTTGTTTCACCCTGCAGATTGAACTTTGGCATAAGGTGCAGAAGTCTGGGTGTGTGTGTGTGTGTGTGTGTGAGACGCACACAATTGATTCAGCAGAATTCACTTCACAAGCTGCATTTAGTCCCAGGATTTACATGCCTTTGATGCAGAGCCTGACGATGACGTGTGAAGTCCTGTAGCTCAGTGGTTAGAGCGTTTGCCTTGCAAGCAAGAGACGTGCGTTTGATTCCTGACACCCAAAATGTTGGGCAAGTTCCTTAACCACCATATCAAATGTAAGGATATCAAATGTATTATTATACTACACCTTTCAGGCCCCCATATGAAGAATGCCCACTGGGGCTGAGCAGAGGGCAGCCAAGCCCCACAATAACCTGTCTGAGGTAACAGGAAAGAAAAAACCAGGACAATATATTCTGAAGGCTAAGTAAAAGCGTTTGAGTAGTTCTTGTAATACTGGTGCAACGTGTACAAACTGAAAATGTACTGAAACAGGAGCTGCTGCCAAAACACTGGTAACCAAAGCGTTAAATGGAATGAATGCTCAAGGATGTGTTCCGACAGATGTATGGGGTCGAGCACGTCATATGCAGTTACTTCTCCGATGGTTCTCGCCTCTTCTAGTCTCTCCTCATGACTCAGAGAAGGTATCCCTTAACCGATTAGACAATTACTTGCCTCCAGCGTTCACTGCTGCACGACCATCTCCTGCACATACACACAGCCAGACAGTATCTGCCCCAAAGCTACAGGGATCTATCTGCCTGTAACCAGTCGAAGCAAGACAAAATCTCATGCCCTTTGGTCATCAACAGCCAAAGATCTCTCACTGGATTCCATCCACAGCACTCAACACTCCCTCCTGCAGTCACACTATTCTCCATACCCGGCTGTAAATAAGTGAGCAGGGTGTAGCTGTCATAAAATACAAGAAACCTTGCCCGGTTAGTACAAAGTGGTGACAGATAAGACGTATGGGAGGAGAAAAAATTGGGCGAAGGTTTAACTGAAAGAACGAACCTAGCACTGCTCGATGTAGGGATAAAAAGCATTCCCTTCACATTCTCAAATCATAGGAGAAGACAGAATAAATAGTTCAGTCTTTGCTGTCTGTTACGCACATTCACTGCGGTACTTAAAAATTAGAGGTGCACGTCAACTGGTTCTAAACCAAACACCCTGAACTCTTTCTGAAAGAAAGGGAGGGAGGGAC